GGGCTGGCAGGGGGTGGGCGCTGACCCGGTGTGGGGAACTTGGGGGCCTCGGCGAAGCCGCCGTACTCCTCGTCGTAGCCCTCGTCCAGCTGTTGGAAGCAGCGGCTGTTCATGGTGGCGGCCGATGGCGGCAGCTGGCGGTCACCGGTGCAGATCTCCGACCGCGCCAGCAGGGCTGTGGTGACACGCTGGCTGTTTTCAAGCAAGGCATTCTTGTTCTGTTTCCACTGTGGAAGGCGGGGGCAGACTTGGGGGTCAGCATGAGGTGGGGGGGCCCTTTTTCCCTCGCCCTTGACCCCCCCTCCTCCACAAACACTCACCTGCTCCCGTATCCTCAGCAGCACGGTGCGGAAGCCGACTCGGGTCAAGCCGTCCTCCGGGGGGAAGTAGGTGCCTCCCACAAAGGGCTGGAGGTTGGGAGTCAGCCACACACTCATGGGCCAGCCCCCACCACTGCTGGTGGCCTGGGGGAGAGAGGGCGAAGGTGAGGGAGCAGCCCCTGTGCCTGGGCAACCCCCCCCCCCAGGAAGACGGCTCACCTGCACGAAGGTCATGTACACCTTGTCCACGTCTGGCCGTTCCTCCCGGTCCACCTTTACACTGACGAAGTCCTCGTTGAGCAGGCGGCCGATCTCCTCATTCTGGAACGACTCTTCCTCCATCATGTGGCACCAGTGGCAGGTGGAGTACCCCACTGGAATGGGGTCGTGCGGCCACCATGGGGACCAGGGACCGGTCAGAGGGGTGCCAACCAAAGGGGCCCAGCTGGACTGAAGGGGCCCTGACCCCTGGTTTCCTGGAAGGGCCCCAGGCCTGGAAGACCCTCACCCTACCCGCCACCACTCTGCTCCCCATCCCAGGGAAGGCAGTTGCAGTACCTGAAAGGAAAATTGGCTTGTTCTCTTTCCTGGCCTTGTCGAAGGCTTCCTGTCCCCAGGGGTACCTGGGCCGGGCACGGGGAGGCACTGTTCACCAGCCCAGGGTGTGGGAGGGGTTGAGAGCCCAGCCACCCCAGGGCGGGCATCGGGAAGGCACTCACCAGTCCACAGGGTTGTAGGCATGCTGGAGGAGGTACGGCGACTTCTCGCTGATCAGGCGGTTGGACGCCTTCTGCGGCGTGGACTGGGAGCAGTTGGTGCGGCTCCCCTTCCCTCCAGCGGGCATGGACACTGCAGTGCTGACCGTCACACTTCGGTCCTTGTCCCTGGAGGAGCTACCCCTGGCACAAGCAGGTGCGTCAGGCCAAGGGTCTCCCCACCACCATCCCAAGGGCCCGCCCAGCCCCATCCTGCCCTGTGGCACCCCTCCCAGAACCCCCCCCCCCCGCTCTCAGCCCAGTCCACCTTTCTGAACCACGGGGTAGACTGTGGCCTTTGTGCTCCCCCTTGTGTTTTGGGGGGGGTGAAGAAAGGTGGCTCATTGGGGAGTCCCTGCCAGGCTAGTCTCCCCCAACCTCTTGGACCTGGCGGTGGGAAGGATGATGAGTGTGAGGTCAGGGTGAGTCACAATGGACAGAATGCTGGTTCAGGCTCTGTTCTCTCCCCCTACCTGGGCCCCCTCCCCAGAGTGGTAGCGTTGGGGGTATCTCCCTGGCACACCTCGGTGTGTGATATGGGCAGAATAGTCTGCCTGTTGCTGGTGGCTGGACAGGACAAGAGTCCAGTCTGGAACTAGACCATGTTAGGGACAATGAGAGAAAATCAACAGAGAGGACTGCCTCACTCAACATTGACTGGCTGGACCCTTCTGTGGGGCCAGGTCCTGGACCAAACCCCCAGGACCTGGGGCGGGGCGGGGGGGGGGGGGTCAGAACCGAGCTGCAATCTCAAGGGGCTCAGCCTGGGAGGGTGGTGCTGCAGGGCAGCCTGAATAATGACAGGGCCCTGCAGCAGTAAGGACTGTGGCAGGGGAGCCCAGGGTGCTGTGGTTACACAGGGACCTCTGGCCCAGCACTGAGGTTCAAGGAAGGCTTCCCGGAGCTGGGGTCAGAAGAGAGTCCCAGGAAAACCAGCCCCGCAGGCAGAAAGGAGGGGAGTGGGGAGGGGAAGAGGGCCGGGAGGGCAGGAGGGCATTACTGCCAGGGCCAGGTTGCCCGAGCCGCCTAGGGGTCTTGTGGGGTTGGTGGGGTGGGGGTGGGGCGGTTTGAGGCGTGAAGGGCTGGCGGAGCAGGCACTGAAGACCAGCACCCAGGTGTCCCTGGGGCCCAGCAGGCGCAGGGCGTGCCTCAGTGGCTCACTCATCCGCATGTACCTGCTGCTGGGGGCAAGGCCGGGCCTGGCGTGAGGCAGCAGGAGGCCGCGGCACAGCCAGGTCCGCGTGGCCCAGCATGGCTGCTGCAGGTCGTGGGCCAGGGCGCTGCAGACTCGGTGGGGAGGGTGGGTGGGAGGCCTCGAGGGGCGGGTCTGGGCAAGGACCCTGCCGCAGGCGGGTCTTCGCTGACCCTTCGGGCCGGTGGCTGGTCTCCGAGCGCCGCCCTGTGGTAGAACGTGGGATTACAGGCAGAACAACATGGGCCTGAGAGGACCCGGCTTTGTGCACAGAAGTGGGAGGATTTACCTGGGCTTACACCAGCTGCTTCAGGAGGAGCACGTGGAGGACTGTGAAGGATGCCAAGGCCGTGGAATGCTGGAGCCTTGGCTTATTTTGTCCAACCCTTGCTCATTTTACAAATGAGAAATGAGGCCAGAGCAGAAGGTAGGGTTTGTCGAGGCCCATCCAGCCAGTGAGCTTTGCCTGTGCACGCCTCTCCATATCAAGGTCCACCTCAAATCCCGCCCACTCCAGGAAGCCTTCCCTTGCTTGCTGGTTCACGATGACTACATCGTGAACCAACTTTCTGTCCCATCACACACTTTACACACTTGTCTCATTTGCTACATTCTGCCAACAGGAAGTGCCTACTGCCTGCCAGACACTCTGATGGGCACAATGGTGGGCAGAGAGAGCCCAGGCCCCTGCCCTTGCATGGCTCACAGTCCGCTGAGGGAGGTCGAAGCTAATGCAACAGCCATACAAATGAATGCACAACCCCTCACTGTGGGAAGTACAATGATTAAGAATGACAAGGAAACCGGTCTGGGGAGAGAGGCAAGGTGGGGGGGACTTCCTTGAGGAATCACATTTGGGTAGCAGGCGTCAAAGAACAAGATGATGAGTAGGATGAGGAGTACCTGGGAAAGAGCCGTGCAAAGGCTCTGGGGCGGAGCAGAGTCAGGGCCGAGGAACGGCAGGCCAGCCTGGCAGCAGGGCGGAGCCAGGGGAAGGGAGGCGGCAGATGAGATGAAGGCTGGGGAGGAGGGTGGGGGCCAAGCCCTGAGGGGTTCTGGTTATTGATGAGAGCAGAAGGAAGCCGCTGAGGGGCTTCAGCCAGGGGAGTGACCCTGCGCTTTGGAAAGCTCTCTCCGGCTTCCCAGTGGAGAATGTACCAGAGAGGGGCAGGGTGGACAGCAGGAGTGGTTAGGAGGCCACAGCAGGCCCGGAGGAGCTGGCGGAGGTCCGCACCGGGTGGAGGTGGAGATAGGAGGGGACGTCTGTAAAGGGGGAGAGATCGTCGGCGTTGGCGGTCAGGGAGAAGGAGGTGTCAGGAGTGATTTGCAGAGTGGGGCTTGTGCTGGGTGGGGGGTCCATTTGCTGATGAGGAGGTACAGGGAGAGGCTTAGGTGGGGGTTCACAAGGCCAGTTTTGGACGTGTTGGATCAAGGTGCCCTTGAGACGTACACACAGCCATGACAAGGCTCCAGAATCTAGAGGAGAGGCTGGTGGGCGAGAGGCAGCGGGGTGTTCAGTGTGGCGACAGCGCAGGCGTGGGAGAGACCACCCAGGAAGGCTGCAGTGAGAGGGGAGAAGCAGTCTCAGAGCTGGGCTTGAGGAGCTCAGGAGTGCATCCAGGAAAGACGGGAGGAAATGGCCGGAGTGTCCGAGAAAAAACAGGAGAGGGTGGTGCCCCAGAGGCAATGGGACAGAGACCTGCGAGGAGGGAGGGTTGGAGTGGTCAGACTCCAGAGCAGCCAACTGGGATGGGACCGAAAAAGATCCACCGGCTTTAGCACCACGGACGTCAGCGGTGGGCTTGGCGGACGGTGTTCTGGTGAGGCGAGGCTGACGGCAGAGGCCGATGGGGTGGGTTGGGAGGGAGGGGACAGGAAGGGGACATGGACAGGGTGGACCCTCGAGGTGAGGGGGGAGACACTTTCAGGATGGCTGAGGCTAATCATGACAAATGCCTGGGGGAAGGGTTTGCTTGAGAGGAGGCGATTGAGGATCTGGAGAGAAATGGCTGAGAAGCTGGCGTAACGAAAGGGTTGGCAAAGGAGGGTCTCATGGGTGCTCCCTGGGAGCAGTGACGGTAAGATCAGAGGACAGGAAGCCTGCCCTGAGTGTGGAGGAATCTGGAATGAGGACACCTTCCCCGGAGTGTGACCATGGGTGAGGGTGGCCGGGACGTCATGGGGTGGCAAGGCCGCCTTCTTGACGATAGAGACACATGGGATTGAGCAAGATCTGCGTGAGGAGCAGACTGTGAGCCACGACCGAAGCGCGGCAGGAATGAGGTGGAACACAGCTCCAGGTGCGGGGAAGGCGGGGACGGCCCGAGGCTCCGGCCTTCAAGGAGGGGGAGGGGGTCTTACGGGAGGAAGACGGTCTGGAAGCAGCTATGGGGAGCAAGGGTACCAACTCCTTTGTGGGAATCAAAACAGCATCCCTTGGGGGGCGGTTAGAGAAGCAGTGTCCGTGTGACAGCCAGTTTAGAAGAGGACAGCCCAAGCGGGGGAGGCGCAAAGGGTGGTCAGAGACCACGGATGGAGACAGACGGGGGCTGGACCCTGGGCACTGTCCGGCAGACCAGCAGTGAGGGGCAATGGCAGGTTCACTCCTCCTGGTTAGTCTCTGGGGAGGGTGAACCCTGGGCCAAGTGGGCAGTGGCCTGGGAGGAGCCACACAGCGACCTCATAAAGAAGGAACGCGTGTTCCCATTTGACAAGGAAACGGAGGCAGAGTCATAGAGAGGTTAAGTAATTTACTCAAGGCCAGGGAGCATAACCACTTATTACTGAGTGATTATTATTATTATTATTATTATTATTATGTGCAAATCTTGGAGCAGAGTTTTGAACTCAGTCGGTCTGACTCCTAAGTAGGTGCTCTCATCCATCCTGCCTTCAACGGCCACGGTAGGAGTCCCTCCAAAATAACAAAACATCCTCTTGCCCCACCCCAGCCTTAGGAAGGGGAACAGCATTGCGTGTCTCCCCCAGCTTTGGTGTTTCCGGCCTACGGAAGGCCATTTTCTCCTAGCACCTCGAAGTGGGTGCAGCTGGCAGCAGGGCCAGCCCCTTGAGCACTGAGGACACATTCAGTGACCTGAGAGCATTGAGTAGAAAGGGAGGGAGGGGGGCAGTGGTGCCCCACCTGGATGAAGTATCAGGCCCTCCTCCTCTCCCTTGGTTTCTCAGATCCCACATAAACCTTCGGGCTCCCTCTGCATGGCTAAGGTTGAGTGTATTGCCAGCCCTGAGAAAGGAGAGGAGGGCAGAGCCGGATTCCAGGTGACGCAGTAAAACCAAGGGGCCTGGGGGCTCCTGGACCTGGCTTGCCTGCCCTGCTGAGTTCTGAGCTGCTGGAGGCTGTGGGCCTAACAATTCTCTGTTCCTCCGCAGGCAAGCTCAGCATTTTGTTCTCAGCAGTCAGTCAACAGTTGCAAATGAAACCTGCTGTGAGGCCAAGACCTGGAGGCCAGCGAAGCCAAACCGCCGCTGAATCCCAGTCCTGCCCCAGGCTAGCTTTCACCTCCCTGAGCCTCAGTTTCCTCACCTATAAAATGGGGTTTGCACTTGGTTTAATGCTCTGCTGCCCCCATTTTAAAATTCTTAACCCAATTTTTAACAAGGGGCCCCACATGTCCATCTTGCACTGGGCCCCACGAATTAGGTAGCCAGTCCTGAATGTGAGTAATGGTATCTAGCTCAGAGGGTTGTTGCAAGGATTAAATGAAGTGATCTGTCTAAAGTGCTTAGCACGTAAGTGCTCAATAAACGGGTTCCTTGCTGTTAGATCAATCTGGCGCCCATGTGTGATAAATGACTGAAAATGATCAAATGGACGCGAGCCTAGGGAGCGTCTGGAAGCGAAGGTGCCAGTCTGAGGGGGCTGTGCAGAAAGCGGGAGCGTTTTTTGTGCCCCCACATTGTGGAGCAGTTATTTCCATGGCAGCCGCTGATTTGCGCAGTGGTCCAGACCTGGCCGCCACGTCCCGCAAAAAGTCCACTTGGTGAGAGCTGAGACCGTGGGTTCCAGTCTTTATTACGGGGGCGCGGTCTCATCCCCGAGCAGCCATCACTCTTTAGCTCCAGGAGTTGCAAAGGGTCTGCGGTGGCCTGGACTAGGGTCCGTACTGGCCTCGGGGCGGAGTCTCGGGGCGGAGTCTCAGCCTGTCTCGACTTCCGGGGGCGGGTCCTGGGCTGGTAGCCCCGCCACTCCCCAAGGACAGGGGAACAGAATCCAACCCCGTTAGCGTTGGGGGCGGGGCCTCCCGCGCACTGGTGGGCGACCCGGGCAGGAAGGTGCTCAGAGGAAGGGGTTGGTGCTGGCCTGGGGGTTGGGATGGAGAGGCCCAGTTGAGTCCGATGTGGGCAGCAGCGGTGGCGGCAGGCTGGAGGGCGGCGGCGTGAAGGCGCCAGCCCTTGGGAAGACGCTGACTGAGGCGGGGAGGCTCACGCCAGCTGGCACGCTGCTGAGTGGGAGGGGCAGGGAGGTGCTGTAGGTCATGGAGCTCAACGGCGTCCCTATCGGCCGGCCCGCAGCCAGGCCCAGCGCCGGCGACCCGGTTCGCATCTGGTTCAGGGTCGGCCTGCCCAGTTCGACCCCGCCGAACGGGTTGGTGGGGGATGGAGCGCTGAAATCTGCAGAACGAGAGTGGGTAGGGGGTTTGCAGTGGGCCAGGGATATAGCCCTAAATTGGAGGGGGACAGTATCTGGGGTTTTAGAAATAGGGAAGAAGAAGAAGATTCTAGGGCAAGGGCTGAGCTCTGAAAGGAAGGGTGGGGGTGCAGGGTTGAGACCTGCCAGGGAACAGGGGATGTTGTACCTGTCAGGAAGGGGTTCCGGGTCTTCGCAGCCTGGGGTGCCTTGACTAAGGAGTCAAGGTTGACCAAGGAAGAGGCTGAGGGGCCCAGGAAGGACTCAGGAGTGCGAGCTCGGGCTTCTTTGCTAGGCTGGGTTAGGGCTTCTCCCACTACGCTCAGGTCAAAGGCATCTGGCTCCTTGGTACCATTTTGCTTGGAACTGGGGATGGGGTCTCCAAACAGGTCCAGCTCTGGAATACAAACGGGTGTGGAGAGGGATGGGTCACTCGGCAGGAGGAAGAGGACAGAGCCCTCTCCTGGGTGGGCTGCTCATTCCCCAGAGCTGCGTCCTCCTCTGCCTCCCGCTTACCCACAGGGCTGCTGGGTTTCCCAGAGGGCGGGGCCTGGGCCCCCTCCGGCCCCTCCTTGGTCTCTGTGGATACTGGAAGTTTGGCAAATGGGTCAAAGGTTGAGGTGCCACCGAGAGCTAGCCAAGGAAGAAAAGGGAGATGAGATGGGTTGGCAAAAAGAGCAGGCACTGGACTGACCTCTTTCCAAGCAAGCAGCCCTCCTAACAGCCTCACCCCCAAAGGGAGGGGGACCCAGAAGTCCTTCAGCCCCTCACCCACACCCACACCCTCTGGCCCTTTGCTTACCTGGTGTGTTGGAGGTTTCCACTAAGGCCCCCCAAGGGTCAGCCCCAGTGTTGGGGAGTTGGTGGTGGGAGGAGTTCTGTGCCCAGGGATCTGTAGTGGGGGTTCCAGCAGGCAGCACTGGGGTCCGGCCCCAGGGCTCAGAGGAGGACAGTGTCGGGGGCAGGTCCCATGGCTGGCTTCGGGACAGGATGCTTCCTGAGGGGACTGGAGACCAGGGGTCTGCAGAAGGCCAGGAGGAGCCACTGGGCTCTATGTTGGACTTGAGACCTGAAATGGAACAGCACAGCCATGACCCCAGTCTGACCCTTACCCCCAGCCCAGGGTCTTCCCAGTGACCCAGACCAAGTTGCAAGGCTAAAAGATCCATTTCACAGATTCTGGACGCCAATTCGGAACCACCCAGCAAGCAGGAGCCCATAGCTAGCAAGTTATCCCAGGAGCCTGGACTCCCGGGCAGCGGCAGCTCAGGCTACCTTCGCAGTCAGGGACTGGCCGTGGTAGGAAAGCCAGGGTGATGGGCAATAAAAGCACTTTCCCGAGATCATTTCCCATGAGCTGGGCTCTTCAGATGTGCTCCCCTTCCTTTCTACAACACCATGTCACTGAGGAAGCTGAGATTCAGAGACATAGGTGACCTGCCCAGGGGCCCTCAGCTGTGGGTAACGGTGTGCCAGCCAGAAGCCAGGAAGGAAGGAGCTCTCTAGGGCTATCCTGGGGGCTCTTGCAGCCCTGCATGCCCACCTGGGATGTCCCATGGGTCAGCAGAGCAGTGTGTGGAGAGCGGGGCCGCGGCAGGTGCGAAGATGTCCACCAAGTCCAGGATGGAGGACTGCGGAGAGGAGAGGCAGTCATGGCTCAGAGGAGGGCAGGCCCTGCCCTGTCCACCTGACTCTGGATCCTTCTCTCCTTCATGCATCCCATAAACACCTAGTAATGACCCCTCACCTCTGCACGGTGCTTTTCAGTTTATAAAATGTTTCCTCATCCATTTAGTGCCTGGTATTCCCAACAGCCCTATGCGGTAGGTAGGCAAGGTGGTGGTGTGCCCACTTTACAGATGAGCCCCAGAGAGGGGAAACAGTTCGCCTGGAGTCACACAGCCAGGGAGAGGCTGAGCCAGGCCAGAACCCAGGCCTGCCCTCAACTGTCTTGCTTTTCAGCCCATCAGTGATAAGGCAGGTTATATGACAAGGCTACCTCCCTAAGCAGTGCCCAGGAGAAACCATTCCCAGTGAACACGCAGAGCTGGCAGAAAAGGGACAGAGAACCCCAGGGCTAGCGTGGACCGCTTTGGAGGGTGGCCTTGTTCCCAGCAGCTGCCTTCTCCTTCTGGAGAATGTGCACAGGAGCTCAGGATGTCCTGAGTCCACCTCAGTCTTCACCTGCACGGCGTGCCATCCTAGCACCTCAAGACCATGTGCCGCAACCCTAAAGTGGCAGCAAAGCCAGAACCCAATTCGAAGGGTCCTCAATCAGGATTCTTTACATCCCACTTTGCCATCAGCTTGGTCACCAGCCTATGCAGTATGGGACCCAACCTAGGGCTGCTGCACCCCCTCCACCCCCACTTTCATTGAATAAACAGGTAGGCAGTGCTTACTGTATACCAAGCACTGCTCTGCACTCTTTACAAATATGAACTCAGTTCATCTCCTAGGCTCTGCCAGCTCACGCAGCCCAGCACCCTCCCTACCTGGCTGGTTTTCAGCTTGTCCTCCTCCTTTCTCTCTTCTCTCTCGGGCTTTCTGTCCTGCTGACGGCGAACTGTGGCCCCAGCACCATTGGCCATGGGGGAGTCATCTCCCCGCCAGGACCTCACCTCCTGCAGAAGGCACAAAAGGGGTGAGGAGAGCACGGGCAGCCGGGGTTGGACTTGAGGGGACCTGAGCTGAGTTGAGAAAAGTGCAGAGTGGGGGGCGGCTGAGAGGTTAGGCGCAGCAAGCCCACCAAGTGAAGCAGGAGGAGGCTGGTTAATGCCCGGTTAGCACCTCCACCAGCACCAGCACCAGGAGTCTAAGCCCACTACCTTCTGGTGCTCCTGCCGGCTCAGGCGCAGAGCCAGCTGCAGCTGCAGGTCCTCGTCCCTGGGGGAGGCTGGGGGGACCGGCTGCGGGGGAGGAAGAGAGGGGTGAACTTGGTCCAGCACTCCCACTCCTGGGCCAAAAGGGAATGTGGGACTGAGAGAGAGGTGCCCACCCCAAACAACAATGTGGGCGTGGTCTTCTCCCTGTCCAGGGCTGAGATGCAGTTTAAAAATCAAGGTCAATCCTTTTCCTCTGGGTCCCCTGAGTCTCCCCAAGCCCTGCTTCCTGCCGGGTCTGCCTGGATTCACGGAGGTGATGGCAGAGTGGATGGTGGCATAGGGGCTGTCCCTGCCTACAAAAGTATAGCTGATGATGGGGTCGGGGTGGTGGCAGCATGTCTCTGTGTCCCCTATGAATGTGTCTGTCAGCATACGTGTCCCCTTCCCCTCTGTGAGGCGGCAGCAGGCCCCCACCACACTCATCCACCCCCAGCCCACTACACACTCACTGTCCTTTCCAGGCCCAGCCAGGGGACCGGAAGCAGGCAGGTGATCCCTGCTGGGACAATCCCAGGGACACAGGCAGGCTCTGTGCTGTCCTTGGGATCAAGACTACGGTTTTGGGGCCCAGTGTGGGGGAGCCTGAGAGTCAGGTGTGTCTAATCCAGGTACGTCTCCCTTCTCTGCCAGCGCCCTCCCCATGCCAACCCCAGCCCAGTGCTGGGGCCTCCCGAGCTGCCCCGGGGGGGCGGGGTGCTCACCTTCTCAGCCTCCTCCCGGCTCATGGCCAGGGCCAGCTGCAGCTGCAGCTCCTCTTCTCCCGACGTCTGGGGCCGGGCCTGCTCCAGGTCTGAGGTATAGCGGGGGGACGAGGAGGAAGCTGCAATGACCATCGTGGCTCCTGTGACCCCGAGGGTACTCGGGGGCTCCCACACCCCATCCCCTCCAGGAGGCCAAGGCTCAGAGAGAGAGACAGGGGAGGAGAAGAACGGGCAGTCGAGGGCCCCAGGATGCCAGGCCACGTGCTTGGCGCTTTCTGTAATGTTTCCCATCCTACCCCATGAGGACTCCATTCTCTCCTTTACAGACCAGCAAACAGTTCTACGGGCGCCTGGTCAGGCTCCTGCAGCAAGACTTGAACCCAGGTTCCCTGACCCTTCCAGCTGGGCCCCATGCAGCCTGAGGCCAAGTGGGGTGGGAAGATGAGAGGCTCCATTCAAGGTCACTGCTCTCCCAGACCACAGCATGCTGTCAAGGGCTTTATGAAAGGAGGGCCATGCGGAATAAATCTCAGACCGAGGAAGCCCCCACCAGGATGGAAAGGAGAACCAGGAACTGCTCGACGGCTCCCCCCATTTCCAAGGACAGTGCCCTCGAGTCGGGGTGGTTATAGGGAACGCCACTGATGGGGCAGTGTGTGTCATGTGTCTGGACACAAGGCCGAGGGCAGTCCTGGGCCTGGTCTCGTTAATTCTCACATCAAACCAATGCAGATGAGATTATCTCTGCTTTGTGGAAGAGGAAGCTGAGGTTCAGGGAGGCGGTTGTCCGGACCACACGGCCCGGAAGGGGCAGGGCGAGGAATGCCACCAGACTCCAGGGCCTGTGCGTGTACCACCCTGTGCTGCCAGATAGCGAATCAACAATAACAACAAATGTACACTAACAGTACGGTTTATGCTAACTTGTCGAGCACCTACTACGTGCTGGGCATTTGCCTCACGCTTTACACTCCTTATCTCACTGAATCAGCACGACCTCCCTCTGAGGTCGTAGAGCTAGAATTGGAACCCAGGCCACTACTCTGTCCCCAGCCATGCACCCAGGGCTCACTCACAATTGTAGGAGGACGGGGAACCCCGAGAGCGGCCGTAGTCCTCGCCGTGGCGGCGGCTGAAGCCCAGCTGCCCGCTGCCCATGGCCATGCCCTCCAGCGCCATGCGCTCCTTGGTCTTGAGGGCGTGGGTCCGCTCCTGCCGGAGGCGCTCCTCGTCTCTGAGCAGGGCCATCACCTGCTTGACCTTCTCGCGCACGTTGACGCCCTGGTCTTTGCCATCGCGGTCGATGTACTGGAAGTCCTTGAGCGTCTGGATGGTGAAGAGGTTCTCCCGGCACTGGTGGGCCACCCGCTCGGAGCCTGTCTTCAGCAGATAGTCCAGCAGGGTCAGCGCCTTGTACACGTGCCTCCAGTTCTTGCCGCTGTCGTTGAGCCGCCGCCACAGCATGCCCATGACCTCAGCAAAAGCCACTGTGTTGAAGGTCAGGTCGGCAATCTCCGACATGAGCGAGCTGGGCGGGCCCCAGGGGTCATTGCTGGTGGCCTCGCGCACCTTGATCTCCGCCTCGGAGTAGTTGTGCACGATGTTCTTCACCTGGCGCCGCAGCGCGGAGGTCGTCATGGCTGGGGACTTGGAGATGGGCACCCCCCGCCCCAGCCGGAGGTGGAGGGCCGAGGGCCACCGTCGTGAGGTCACTGTGTCCAAGGGTGGGCCGCCGTGCTCTCAGCAGGGCGGCTTCGTCCTTGGGTCCCACATGGGTCTGAGGAAGAGAGGGTTTGCAGCTCAGGGGCGCTGACCCACCTAGCTGACCACTCACTCACCCACTTAAGGCCTGGCCAGGTGTCCCCACTGCCAGGAACAGCCTCCAACGGGCACTTTCTACGTGTCTGATTTTACTTATTACTCAGCAAGCACGGCTAGCTCTGCACGTTCATTTATCTTCACCATCACACTGCGAAGCTCCTGTTATTACTACCACCATTCACAGAGAAGGGAAATGAGGCTTAGAGACGGATCGGCTCGTCCCAGGTCATGGAGCTCATAAGTGGGGATTCGGGGTGGACCTAGGCAGACACACACCACAGTCCTTGCCCTCAGTGAGGGACACAACGACGACCCCCAGGAACTCGACCGGCCGAGCTTCTGCTGGGCTACCTCTCCCCTTTCTGCCAGGATCTAGCTTAAGACCTATCCTTTCCACCTTCTCAGTCCTCACTTTCCTCTCTTCTCGTATTGACGGTGTAGCTCGATTCACTCAATACCCATTTCCTGGGGCCGTCACTGAACCAGGCCCAGGGCACCAGTCCCGGTGCACCCACGTCCGGTTGGGAGGGGAGCGTACAGGCAATCACAGCCCAGCGGGAAAGCGCAGAGGAGCGCGGGAGCACCCAGGCTAGGAAAATCAGTGGGGATGCCCCAGGGGCGGTGATGGCTGAGCTGAATCCAGAGATTGGAAGGCGAGGGAGAGGAGGAGTGAGCCAGCGAGGTAGGAGTGGGGTGGGGGTGGCTCAGAGGGAGCACCTTGAGCTGGGCCGGGTGGGAGAGGAAGGGGCACTGAGGGGGCTGCCTCTCAGAGAAATCCAGCCACCCCACCCCGTCCTACACACGAGAGCGCAGAGGCCAGAGAGGGGCTGTGGCCTGCCCACAGTTACATGGCAAGTAGGTGTCAGAGCCGGGACCAAGGTCCCCAGAAGACTAATCCAATACTTATTGTCAGCGTCACCAGTTTTGTAATGAATTCATTTGATTGCTTTACTGTCTGAGCCCCACCTTTACAGCCAGAAGGTAAGCTCCCTGAGGGCCAGGCTGGTCTGGGTTCCCAAAACCCCCCCAAGGCCTGGGGCACATGGCAGAACTCTGATACTCCAGCTACAGGGGGACTAGGGGCAGCCAGGTGCCCTCCCCCGCAGCCAGAGCACCAGGCCATCTGCTGAAAGTCAACACAGGCCCAAGTCAGAGAAATGTCCTCCCAGAGCCCTACCAGAAACCCACACGGGAGTCCCTGTGCCATCACCACTACTCTGGTGTGGGCACGCGCACGCGCACACACACACACACACACACACACACACACACACACGGCTGGACCCACACAGCTCCCACTTTCGCCAGCGAACTCTCATGGATGCCAGCACCCACAGAGACGGCACCTCTTGGCTCTACCTTGGGACTCAGCGGGAGTCAAAAGGAGTTTGTTCTACCGCCTCGCCCCTCCGCCTGGGTCTGCCAGCACAGGGCTCCTCTCGCAGGGGCCCTCAGGCCTCACAGTTTCCTTCAGGGCCCAGGTGCCTGGGCGAGCTCTGCCCGGACGCCGGCGTCCCTTGGGAGACCCGGAGGGATGGAGAGTGCCGGCTGAAAGCACTGCCTACCTTCTGTCCGTTGCCTTTCTGTCCAGCTGGCCTTCTGAGGGGGTGCGCTGGCCCACACTGGTTTAGCTCCTGCCCTCCCCCTCACTCGTGACTCAGACCTGCCTTTACCTCTCTGAGCGGTGGGCTGGCGGGTGGCAGGAGTGAAGATGAGAAGTGATTGTGTCCCAAAGCCCGCCCCAAGTGCACGCCACCCGCTCCGGAGCCGGCCACTGAAACCAGCAGAACCAGTCAGGCATCGTGACTCCGACTCCGGCAGCGGCTCTACCTGGCCCTCCTGCCCGCCCGGGCAGTGGGAGGGGCTCTCGGTGTGGGCGCTGCAGCCCTGCCTGAACTTTTCTCCTGGGAGGTGGGCAGGGCAGGGCCCTCTCTGCACACCTCTGCCCGAGCTAGGGGAAGGGAGGGGTCGGAAACACCTGAAGTCAGAAGGGGACGAGGTGGAGAGGAAGAGGGGGCAGGGCGAGGCTCGGGGAGTGCGGAAGGGAGGGAGGCAGAGAGGAAGGAACGCGGGCGGGAGCAGCTGGGAGCTCTGCCAGCGGTGTTACAAGCAAAGGGTTTTATCGAACACAATATGCCCAGAAATAAAAGGGAGTGAAACAGAAACCCAGCGGCCGATAAGGCGGCAGTGGCAGCGGCAGCGGCGGCCTGGGCAGCCGGGTATGGAATTACTGCAGTGACCTTGAGCCAGGCCCTGTCAGGTGGAGGGAAGGACACTGAGAAGGCAGGGCCTGGGAGGCCAGTTCAGAGACAGGGGAGAGGGCAGGAGGGGAAGGAGGGCAAGGAAGGAGGAGGGAGGAATCCGCTATGGTGGGGGGGGGTGTAGAATGGGAGAAGGGCCAACAGGGGGTGGGACCAGCTGGGGGGACACATGTCAGCTTTCTCCTATAACAGCGTCCCGAGAAGAACTTTATAGAGGGGAGGGGGCTGCTCTTCCCAGGGCCCAGAGGACTGGGGGACCTGCCAGAACTGAGGAAGCAGATGGCTTCTCCAGAGTGGGGTTCAGGGAGATGGAAGGAACCCAGGTGTAGAGTCACGTGGGTGAGTTTGTCCAAAGTCTGGGCGTGCCACACTGGCCAGCACCCCCTCCCATCCTCTGCTAAGGCAGATGCCAGCCTCTGCTCTCCATCGGGTCCAGCAGGAACAGTGGCAGGGAGTGGCAGTGCCCTCTGGCTGTAAGCTTAAGTCAGCTCTGTGCTGGGGGCCTTGGCGTAGGGCGAGCGCTGCCTGAGTCTAAAGGTGCATCAGGGGCCGAGGAGGAGGGGCTGGCAGAGAGGAGCAGGAGACTGTGAGGAATGCTGCCAAAGAGCCGGGTTCCAGGATGGGGAGCCCAGGATGGGGAGCCCAGGATGGGGAGCCCAGGATGGGGAGCGGCCCCCAGTCCTCCTTCCTGGGGGCAGCAGGGAGGGAGGGGCTGCGGGCAGGAGGGCCACTGGAGACAATAAGCCCGCTCCACCACCCTGTGCTCCTCACCCCTCTCCCTGGAACCTGGGAGGGAGACTAAGCCCCGAAGCTTCCACTGGGGCACCACCGCTGCCAGGGAGGGGCCACTTACCTCTGGTGCAGGCTCCCTTGGCCCCAGCCCTGGGACTGTGAGCAGCCTCTGCGGCGACCCTCCGACCTGCACGGCAGGGGGGCGGCACAGCTTCGGGAGCGTCCCCAGAGCCATCCACCGCAGACTCTCGTCCCGGAGACCCACCCTCGCCAAGGAGGTGTAGACCCCTTGGAAGGGCGTGGCAGGGTCCCCTGAACGGGCTGCAGCTCTGCCTCTTGTCCGCCGGTCTCTTGGATGCCCAGCCGGCAGGCAGCACTCAGGAGGAAAGTTGCTCAGCTGGCCGGGCAGGTCTGCCTCAGCAGTAACAGGACACAGGAGGAAGCGCTGGGTGTGTTAACCCCTTCCTGCTGGCCGGGCGGGCGGCTCCTTCAGAGATGAGAGGCTTGCCTGCAGGCAGCCCCCTGGGGGGGGGGGTGCAGCTCTGGAGCCTGGGAGCACGTGCTGGGGGCCCAGTCCCCCCTGCAGTGTATTAACCCTTCCTGCCTCCTCAACAGGAAACAGGGCCAGGGGCCTCCAACACCCACCCCATTCTTCCCCTCCCACTCTGGGCCAGGAGGAGCTTTCCTGGGGGCTGGCCCTTCTGTAGAGTTACTGCCTCCTGTGGACTCCCAGCTGGCCCCCTTGGCCACCCTGACGGGTGCATCAGCCCTGACAGGACTCCGGCCAGCCCCTTCCCTGCCTCTCCAGCACACAGTGATCTGCTCTCTCTGAACCTCCTCCCATCGCAACCTCTCAACTGAAGGATGCTTGAGGCCCATGAGGTCACCGGAAGCCCGAATGCAACACCAAGCCCATGGGAGACTGTGGCTGCTCCCTCAGCATTGCACTCACACCTCTGTGCCATCAGCACTGCAGGCAACGGGCCCGCCATTAGCAAAGTTGCCCTTCAAACTCTGGGAGCCTGGAACCCATTGCACACAGGAAGTCTAGCTGGAAAACAGTTATGGTGCTGAGCCTGAGCTAACAGCCCCTTTCTCTCCCAGAGCCATCGCTTACCCACTTCGCATTTCTCTGAGCAAGAGGGGGAGTGTGAAGTCCAGAGGCTGGCTTTAAGGCAGAGAAGTAGTGCAAGGAGGCCAGAGGGTCTGGCGTGAGGAGTGGGATGGCACAGCGGGACCCAGGATAGGAACCTTCGGCCGAGGACTAAGGGGTCTGGCGCCGAGGGGTTCACAGTGTGGCGAGCACGACCACCACACGCTGGGAGGGGGCCCTGGGACCCAGCTGAAGTGGGAGGATCTGAGGGAGCCAGGTCCCACGGGTTCTAGTTTTCTTGTCTCATACTTTGTCATGTTCGGTGATGACACCTGGAGAAGACCTGGCTTCAGGAAGCATGTCCCCAAAAGTGTGGGGCAAGGACGCCAGAGGCAGGAACCATGCAGGATGACGCTATCTGTCCTATCATCTGACGCATTCCTTGCCCTGCTGTCAACTTGCTCTTGGGCTCGGCACCCCACACATGGCCTCCCTGGGTGTGTTTCTCTCCCTGCCTGTCAGATGACTGCGGGAACTGGGACAGGGTGGGGTGCAGGGGACCTGGGGGCAGGCGGGGCATGGGAGGACCTGGGCCGGAAGTCAGCTGAGTTCTTCAAGAGGCAGCGTTCAAGACACAAAGGCATGATGGAAATGGTAGGAACTTAAAGGTTCTTTATTGGTTTGCTTGTTAACCAGATGCCCGCAAGGCCGCTTGGGCACACGAGTCAAGTGCAAAGACGAAAAGGCTCCTCAATGTTCTTTATGGGGCTGAGCTCGTCAGCCAGAATCATCAGGTTGGTCACCAGGGTGTCCAGCAGCCCATGGACCTGGAAGAATGGGACAGATGTCAGGCAAAGGTTTGCTCCATGGAAAAACACCTGAGCAAGAGACCACCCACTGTGCTATAGAGGTGGGCGTGTTCACTCCACACTGAGACAGCTAGAGAGGGGATAAAACCCAAGTGGTGAGAAGTTCTGTAGAACTTTCGTTTTTGCAAATAGTTTTCTTTTTCACACCAGACTGGGGAGGGAACCCTGCACCAGCCCCTCGGAGGTGTGGGGACCCTGGAGCCGAGTGGAATTAGACGGGCAACCCCAGGGAGGCCAGGGAGCGGTGCCCACGTAGCCCCCTGGGGTGGCCCAGCCCTGCCCTGGCCCCACAGATGCCAGCTTTCTGGGGACCACAGAGCTCATACTGAAATGTTTCCAAGACCATACCCTCAGTGGGGCTGGACCACACGAGTCTCGGCAAGTTCATTCTTAATTTCAGAAAACCAAGGGAGAGTCCGCCCCATGGGTCCTCAGAGACCTATGAGAACTTTCTAGACCTCATTGACCTTCAGAAATCTCAGTGACGTCACCAGTAGCAACTTGGAGCTTCCGATCAAATGAGACCCAGAGCGGGGCCACACGAGGCGACCCCAGCTCCGCAGCTGTCCGCCCCAGGGGAAGACAGAGCCCGGCCGGCCGTCAGGCAGACCTTGCCTCCAGAGCAAACAGCCACGACGACTAAGAACCCCACGCAGCACCGGGATGACTTTCTAGGGACCTACTGCTTAAAAATGCACCATTAAGAAGTCTCTCCGGTGCTTCAAACCCCTTCCACTGGCTGGAAATCCACTCCACGGGGTGCTGCCCTAAGGAGCACGCCAGCCAGGACACCCTCTAACACAAAGGAAAGGCGGGTGACGGGGAGGGAGAGGTTTCTGTTCAGTGCCCCCCATTCTACTTTCCAAATGGCAGCCAGAGCGGTGGATCTTCCAAAAGCGTACGTCAGACCATGCCACTCCTCTATTTAAAGCCCTGTCTGATTTTTCGTTGTGCTCAGAAAATCCCTGTGTCCTTCCGTGGCCTACAAAACCCCACATGATCTGCTCCCTTTCGGTGGCCTGTCTGCCCCCCCCCCCCACCCGTCCTCACGGCGACTCCCTCCCCTTACGTGAGTAGCTTCTCCGCCCTAGGGCGCTCCTCCTCACGGTCCGTATGGCTACCTTTCCCCTCCCTTCGAGTCTCTGTTCACTGTCACCTTCTCGGGGAGGCCCACCCACCTGGGCCTTCCTCACCCCGTGTCTCTGGTCTGTTTCTCTCCCTTCCTGGGTACTCATCATCTGACGTTACTTATTCTCGAAGTCCCTCGCACATGGGGATGCCCTTCACGAGGGCAGCTCTGCTTCCATCAGGGACGCAGGAAGCACTTACCATGTGCAGAACAAACAGGGTGAAGGAGGGAGCGGAGGCCAGTGCCCAGGGCAGGGGTGATGGGGCAGGGTGGGGGGGGGAGGCTGAGCGCCGGGCTCTGCTCTCACCTCAGTGCGCAGCCTCTGGGTGTACTTCTCCATGACCAGGGGATCTATGGGTTCCTGGGAAGGGGTGGTGCTGCCAGGGGCAGGGTCTTCCAAGAAAAGCTTGTCCCTGCTTGAAGGTTTCGTAGATTTCTTATCATCTTTTGCCTTCTGCTTCTTGCTGTTTAAACGGTCCTGCTTGGAGAGATGAGACATGCACGGCCCTCAGCAGCTCCTGAGGGAGGTCTAGGACTTTCTCAGGAGCAGCTCACTGGGGGAGCCGGAGAGAGCCGAATGCGACAGTGACCTTCTGCAGCCCCTGCGCCTCCTCCCCAGCCCCACGCTGCCCCAGGCCAGGCCCCGCCCTAGAGCGTGCCTCTTTCCCCGGCAGCTTAGCTCCTTTTTTATCTTCTTTGTCTCTGGTTCCCAACTGCTTCTTCTCCTGGGCCGCCCCTCTCCGGTCCTCCTTCCCGATTTTCACGGAAGACGGCTTCATGTCCATGGCAGAAGGCACTTTTCGATCTGAGGAAGGTGAGTGAGAGACAGTGTGGCCTGTGACCCAGCGGACACCACAGGTGGGAGTCTCGAAAGCAAAGTGCTCTCAGCCGCTTTGAGAGAATTCCCACAGACAGCCCCTGGTTCAGGCGTGCGACCTCGTAGAACAGGACTGGGGGCAGGTGCAAGGGCCTGGTTCGAGTCCCTGCTCTGCCGCTCCCCCACGTAGGGCACAGGCAAGCCTTCACCCCTTCTGGGACTCCACCTGTACGCTGAGGGAGCTGAACTAAGGTGATACTAGGCCACTTCTGGGCTCTGGACCTTGGCGACAGAGGAAAGGGTAGCAGGGGCCCCTTCACGGATCACACCGGGATGGGGGTGTGAAAGGCTGAGGCAGAGGGGTGGCGAAGGCCACATGCAGGCGTGGCTGCACAGTGTCTGACCTAGCTCTTCCGGCGTGTCCAAATAGGTGGTCTCCTTCTCGGGCAGGCCCAGCAGCACCCTCAGCCACAGGGAATGGCTCACCAGGCTGTCAATCACATCCCGCCACAGCTGCATACTAGAAGGCAAGACACACTGGGGAGAAGGCATCACCCTTCATCTGTCCTAAAGCCAGAGGTTTGGATGCTTCCCTTTCGAGACACTGGTGCTGGGCGCTGCCGTGGGAACGCTGCATCTCGTCCGGCCAGCACCCTCGCCAGCACCTGTGCAGGTGCTCTCAGACAGACCTGGCTTCAGCCCGGGAAACTGTGTCGCCTGGGGCCAGGGCAAGGTCGGACTTAACTCCAGCTTGAAACCGTGGCCAGACCTGGCCTCAGATTTCCAGCGTGAGGCTCAGGGGGATATGTTCTGAGGGCCTTGCAGAAACCTACCCCCCATTTCCCCGACTGGTGTGGCCCGGTGCATTGGGCATCGTCCCGCAAACCGAAGAAAGGTCACTGGTTTGATCCCCAGTCAGGACAAATACCAGGGTCGTGGGGCAGGTCCCCTATCCATGCTTCTCTAGCACATCAACATTTCTTTACCCCTCTTTTTCCTTCCTTTCCTCTCTCTCTAAAAATAAGTAAATAAAAATCTTAAAAAACAAAAACAAAAACAAAAAAACCCACCTATCCCCTCCCCAAGCCTTTCCAAGCTGGTGACAGGCAGGCTGGCGACTGAGAAGTGATGCTTCTCGTGGGATACGCCCCTCTTCTCACCACCCCCTGGTCCCCCCTCTGCTCACTCCTCTGTTTCTTGAGAAGGAGCAAGGGGAGAGAAGTAGAGGCCCAGGGGTCACTGCTCCTCGGGGGGCAGCGGGCAGCTGCAGGGGCTGCTGTGGCAGGTGCCAGGCACGGAGTGTGCGCGGCATCTTTTCACACTCTGAGCTCAAAGGGAGCTCAGCCCCCTTGCGTCTCGGGACTGCCTGCTCAGCGCCCCTGGCCTGATGCCGCAAAGCGGGGGAGCGAGGGCCGGCCCTCCCGGCGGGGCACCTACCACATCTGGTACAGGAGGTCGGACTGCAGCGGCCTCTGCTCCTGGCACAGCTCCAGGGCTTCCCT